GTGTGTGTCTTGATTTGGATGTCCTGTAAGATTTAGATTACAGACTTGGTATCATTTGTTGCAAGGACTATTAAAGCCCCACTGCGCTAGTCTGGCCAGGAGGAATTATACCTCCCTGCAAGGTCACTGACAGATGGTTATCTCATTAAAGCAGCTGCCAATTAACGTAAGAAAAGGGGGACCGTGGGGATCAACGGGTACCGTTTTAATAGGCATTGTTGGCTGTATAGAGGGCGCAAGTATCCATAAGTAGTGCAGTCCAGCTTTAAGGGGTTGCTGCAGGTTCAGATTAGAGCTGATTGTGGGTACTTGTTGTAAAGCCTCGTTTCCAGAACAATATCTTCAAAATCATTTGTATTGGCATGCAATAATCATACCTGTATAACATGGTAATTTTTAGGAAATCCGAATGTAAACCAAAGAATAAACAGTCCCTGAATAACTGCATACCTATTTATAACCGTGCCTAAATTTACAGGAGACTTTCATAACACGACATTTGAGGATAACAAAATATAAAAGTGAAATGACTCCGTCTGTTTGCATCGTCTGCAGAATTTATAGGGAACTTTCATAACACGACATTTGAGGATACACAAAGTATGAAAGTGAAATGACTCCGTCTGTTGGCAACGTCTGCAGAAAGACAAGAATGATAGAACTAAAAAAAAAATCAAGTGCCGCAAAAAGTAAGCTAGTGTCATCGACCTAGTTAATCCCATCACCCCATCTTGACCACCACTCGAGCTTAAGTAGAGGGCGTCATCCAAAGAGCTATAGCCCTGAAGGTGCGTGTTCTAGTGACCAAGAAGATTTTACTGACACGATTTGTATCATATGGTATCAGACAGAGAGTGGAAGCCAAGAGCGGATCCCTGATTTGACAAAAGGAAGGGGGCGTAGTTCCGGAAAAAATTCAACAATTTAAAGGGGGACAATTTATGTTGCTTTGTAAACAATATTTGCCAAGTTGGCTAGAAATGCTTAAAAAGGGGCTTTGACTTGGTACCCGCCCATCACACACACGCGCGCGCGCTGTCTGCCAGTGCATGGAACGATTTATTTATTTTTTTTTTTTTGCTATAGAAGGGTGAAATTAATCTTAAGTTTGAGGTGAAAAGAAAGCAAAACAGGGATAAGATAAATTGAACACCATGGGGGCTGTCCTATATATTTCTTTATGTTAGAATACTGATATACTTCGGTGTTCAACTTTTTGTTTAAAGTCATTTCTTGTGGTCAATACTTCCGACTACAGAGATAAACTACATACCCTTAAGATGTTATAACCTTATACATGGTACAATAATTTCGTTTAGTAAAAGTGTAATCTCAGCCACCGGCTTAAAATCCCATTCGTTTCCTCACTCTACAATTGTCGTATCAAAGCCTTTGCATTGAACTACAAACAATATTGAAAAAAGTATGCACGACTCAACGCATAAATACATTTTTAACAGTGTTTAGCAAAGACGATTAAAAGACAAAAAGTGTATTTTCATTTAGACTAACACATTCTTAAAAAGTAACGGTCTACATAAACAAGCTTACGGCATTACAGTGTGTAATAGTTATTATATGAAAATACGTCGGAACTACATGTATAAACGGTACTGTCACTTTGCTAGAACGTTTCATCCAGTCAAATCCAGTCAAATACCCCAAAGCTAACATCCTTTCATTTTCTAAATGGATGATACAATTTTTCAAGTAGGGCAAGAACTGCCACAAGCCGCTCTCATTTAAATGAGTGGGTTGTACCTTTTTTATTTTCTTCTTTAAAAGAAATTATGTCAGACTACGATGATTGAAATTATTCATTATTCCGTTGACTGTACTTTCTTGATCCTATTTCCGGGCTATATCTAACCGTGACGTTTTTTGAGACACGCATCGTCACATTTGATAGATGATAATCCTTTTGTAATGATCCCATCAATGTCATTAATGGTTCGTGACATATTGCGTGAAATAGGAATGCATGAAGCATACAAAGTGGAAGAACGATTTAAACCGTATCAATCACGTCATAATGGTCTATTTGTTGTGTTCTATTTCATAACCTTGCCCATGATCCATATCTGAAAAAGTTATTGTTTGTATTAAAAGAAGGAGTCGGAGCAGAATGGTGGCATTTTAATAAAATGTGATATGTGAACATTAAAGAGAGCTATAGATTTCTTTCCTTTCAAATCTACGAGTACAGATATCATGTAAAGCTCCTCGAGCTGTCCTTAAAACGTTTGCTTTATAAATATTAAGGCAATACCAATAAAAACAACGACGCTCTTTGCCTACGATTCAGACACATTAAGATTTTCTTTTTAAGTAACCCAGTTTTGCCATATACGGCCTTCATACCTAAAGTATGAACAGTTTAATAGCACCAGTGTAAAGGGTGTAAGTTGAAATACATGGGTGGTACGTGCGGGAAGAAAGGTAAATGATTCCAGTGTGCGTTGACACACTAGAGGTGTCAACACAGGTGAAAATAGATTTCGTTGAGGAACAGTTGTGTAAATCATGACCCAAGGAATCCCGTCTTACCGCGTTCTGCTTTTGCCGAGTGATCCTGACTCTTTTCAACTACATTCTACGTAATGACATCCAAACACAGGGACCCACATGACGCTAACATGGAATGCAGTATGTGATGGTGGAGGCATTCCGCTATCATGTGCAGCCACCCCTTACGTGTTAACAGCACCATCAGGCTAGATTTGTGAATTGGCACTGGCGTCCGGCATTTAGAAGAAATATTTAGGTGTAACACCGAGTGCGACTGACTGATAAAGTCATTATGTACATCAACATGAATCGACATCAAGCCGAGTCAAGGAAACTCAGTGAGCCAAACATGCCAAAGAGTACCAATGACATTTTGGGGGGCGTAGTTGTGAGAAAAGTTATGTTAGTACAAATCGAAGAAGTAGCTGTAGTTGTATCAGCAGCGGCTGTGGAAGTAGTCGTATCTGTAGTCGTAGCGGTATTTAAGTGGTAGAAGTTATAGCGGTAGAAAACGAAGGAAGAAGGAGAAGAAGAACTAGTTATAGTAGCAAAGGTAGAAGTAGTAGAAGTAGTAGTAGTAGAAGTAGTAGTAGTAGTAGTAGTAGACAGAAGAAGGAGAATAACTAGTAGTAGTGGTAGCAGCAGTATTAGTATTAGTAGTAGTATTAGTAGTAGTAGTAGTAGTAGTAGTAGTAGTAGCAGTAGTAGTAGTAATAGTAGTAGTGGTAGTAGTAGTAGTATACTTTCAACAACAGAAAGAATATTAATGGTTATATCAATAATCATAGTCCAGATGATGTACGTGTGTCTTAAGATCAGTTGAAATGGGTATCAGGACAAGAAGTGCAATTAGTAACAACAATATACTTGTATTAATGAAAATAGAAATCGTGATGATGAAAGCAGTGGTAGTAGATGTCGTAACAAATAGGAAAGAATAGTGATTTCAGGAGCATTTGTAGCAGAAGCAAACAGAGCTGTTTGAGTACTACACAACACTAGCAGTCTAGCAGTAGTTGAATTAAAATAATCGTAATTTAAACACATGCAATTTGTGTTACAAGGGGGAAATCAAATATTAATCGAACGATTTTTTTCCCCAGAACAACCTGTAATGACTCTTCATCCAGGTACCCCATTGTGCCTCATGACTTCAATCATTTTTTGACCTGCTCTCATTAATAAAAAGCCACCAAACTTTCCCTCATCTTCCATCTACCACCACCACCTTCCCTTACCCCCATGGGACCCTCCACCTATGGGACCCTCCCCCATCTTGCGGTGGCGGTGTTTCTGGTTTGGCAGCTACTTTCGAAGTCGACTGTCATGACGGTATGCCGGCTGCTGCTGACGCGGTCTCTCCTCGCAGAAAACTTAGACAAATACTCCCCCTTCTCCTCTTGGGACTCTCGCTCCGTGACAATTTCTCTATTCCCCTCAAACATTCCTGCGCACATGGAGACAACAAGAAGAAAACTCCTCAATCAATAATCCTGAGAGGGAAAGATGGGAGGGCGGCGTCTTTCTTTTCATATTCTTTTCGCACCTTTATTGTGTGTGCAAACGCTCTTTGCACATCTTTCTCCGCGAGTCTCCCCTCTCTCTCTCTCTCTCTCTCTCTCTCGAAAGTTTCCATTTACAGCGATCACGTACTTGTGGATGGAGGAGAATTACCGAGACGACCAAAAGAAGGGGGCCTGGAGAAAGGTGCACCCGGATTTCTCATATTGTATTTATTTTGAATCCAGGGTCTTAAAGGCATCTCATTGCTTTTACAATATCCCCGTGAAAAACTCCCAGGTCCTAATCATTTCCAAATATCATTATCAATTTTGTGAAATCGACTTTCCAGCGTCGGTTCTCAGGTTTCGTAATTGAAAGGTATTTTCCTCGATATTGGCAATTTGTTGTATTACTCCAAAATTAAATGGTAGTTATATCACAGACATGTGTTTGGCTGTCTTGTTTTCCTTTGCTTTGCTAGTTTTGTTATAGGGTTCTTGAAATGCAAACAAATATATTACAAATGTAAGTTGATTTGATTGTGAATCGTTTTCTGATAAGTTGGCAGATATCTACAGGATCAAGCGAACCAATTTTCATTATTCATTTCCCTTTATGTATGCTTTATGTTGCGAAGTATGTGATGTCAGTGTCAAACCAAATTTATATCTGTAGCTATACCCTTTCCTTTGAGAATGAAAGGGCACGCGGAAAGAAACGAAAAATGTTATTCATAGCATGCTTGTCTCATAATCTTGCATTCAGGCGCGATAGCCCAGTCGGTAGAGCAGTGGTCTCGTAATCCGGTGACCAGGGTTCGAAACCAAGGCGATGCGCTAGTGCCCTTTGGTAAGACATTAATCCTTATTACCAGGTCCCTCGAAAAGGGCCTAAAGCCGTCAGTCTTCTGGTTGCTTACTAACAAGCATTTATTGTTTTCTTAGCTGTCAAGTATAATAACCACCACAATTATTCTTTTCTTCTTCCAGGTTCATATCCTCGACTGGCGTTGACGTTTAGGATCAAGCGAAATGTGGGTTTCTTCTTCCTTCAGACCTACCTTCCATCCATCTTACTCGTCATGTTGTCCTGGGTATCTTTCTGGATCAACCATGAAGCAACATCAGCCAGGGTTTCACTGGGTAAGGAAGAGTCAACCAAAACTTGTCATCAGTGACAAATGACAGCTTGTGTTATAAGCTACTGAAATCCTTGCTTCTGATTGGTTATCAGCAGATTTGTCACTGGTTTTTGTCATTTGTCATTGAAAAAGGCTTTGTGAAACAGTTTACAGTTATCAAGGAACGTCTATTGCACAGCACGCTGTGTTTCGCAGGGGAAGGACATTGTCCATGACGTGTGAAAGGATAGTGTTGAAATAAGGTGAAATAGTGTGGACTTAGAGTGAGACATTTGGAAGTAGTGTGGAAATAGTATAGGATTGTGTAGATATGTTGTGGAACAATGTTTAAGTCGTGTGGAAACAGTTGACATTTACTGTGGAGTCAAGCAAAATGTTGGCTTGTAATTCCTCCAGATATACCTTACATCCATCTTACTCGTCATGTTATCCTGGGTATCCTTCTGGATCAACCATGAAGCAACATCAGTCAGGGTTTCACTGGGTAAGAAAGAGTCAACAAGTTATCAAGGAACGTCTGTTGCACAGAACGATGTGTTCCAGAAGGGAAGGACATTATCCATGACGTAGTGAAAGAGAGTTTTAATATAGAGTGAAACAGTGTGGACACGGAGTGAGATATTGTTTGGAAGAAGTGTGGAAATAGTGTAGATATGTTGTGGAGCAATGTTAAAGTGGTGTGGAAACAGTTAATATTAACTGTGGAGTCAAGCGGAGCGTTGGTTTGTTATTCCTCAAGATATACCTTCCTTCTTTCTTACTCGTCATGTTGTCTTGGGTGTATTTCTGAATCAACCATGGAGCAACATCAGCCAGGGTTCTACCTGGTAAGAACGGTCCAGCAGGTTTTAAGGGGGGTACCATTATGACCACTGCATTTTCCTGAGACAACACGGTGTTCCACAATATTAAAAGGGTTCTATGTCAAATAGATAAAATACAGAGTATAAATACAGTGAAATACAGTGTAATACAGTATGGGGGTGGAGTATTTGATCATCATCTTACTCGACTTGCTGTCCTGTGTGATTTTCTTAATCAACCATGAATCCACATCAGTCAGGGTTTCACTGGGTTGAGAAGAACCAGCAGGCTAAAAGGAAATATCCATCTAATTTTCTTGAAAAACACAGTGTGGAAACTGTTTCACAGTGTAAAACCTGTGTGACAACATGTAGGACTGGGTGGAATCATTTACGATACAGTAAACAACTAGGGTGGAGACAGTGTGAACATTATGTGGACATTTACTGTATTATGCGGACACACAGTAAAATAATGTGGAAACTGTGGAAAGAATGCAGAAACAATAGTGTGAATTTTGTGTGGAGACAGGGGCTTGGAAGAAAACTGTGGTCTTTGGACATGGCTTTGGAATAGTGTGGACACTGTGTAACTAGTGCAAAAAGGTGTTCCACAGTTTTGAAACGGTGTGTATGCAGTGTGAATAAGGTGTTAGCATGGCGTGTTCACATTTTTTCAAATGTGCTATGTATTTACATTGTGGCGCATAATAAAGACTGTAATTCCGTGGCTTTCAACTTTTTGGAAAAGTCCGTTATCATGTTTTTTCCGATTCAACCACTTTAATCTTGTATCTGTAAAAGGAAACAGCAGTCTTAGGCTGTAACCTCTCAATTCTCCATACGAGATCAAGGTTACATGATAAATTTATGTCAACCGGGTCAAGTGTTCAGACATTACCGTGAAAGGGGTATCAATGATAAGGACGACCTAAAAATCAGAATAGGATTCAGACATAAATGTATCTGTTAAAGAGGGCAGGCCATCCACTCGAACTGTCAAGCCCTCTCAAGTGATGTCATTCTAGAACCATCCCATTGTCCTGTGTTTCAACTCGAGATAACGCGGCCTGTCCCCGCGGAAAGATCGCAGCATCACATACACAATGGCATGACCGCAGAAAAAGATTTGATAATTTCACAAATGTTGCCAGTGTGAATACACCGTATTTACTTGGTAGTTTTGACTTTATAATCATGGTAATGGACTGTGGTCATTGCAAGAATTGTGATGTGTTAACACCATATAGAGCGAAAGTGGGACATTTTGGACGCTTTTCTAATTGTGGATGATTAGTTTAGTGTTGGCAACTTTGAACAAACTTTATGATACTCATTTCTCAATTTTGAAATTTGAAATTTGAAATTTATTTGATTTCCAGGTACATGTATAAACAAAATAGGAATGACAACACAGAGCATATAACATTAAGAGTAACAAGACAGTGAAAAAGCCACCAGCGGACGCCTGAGGATTACCTAAAAGAATATCCATTCTGTCAAGAGGTTCTCCACATCCACTGGTGTTACATATAAATAGATTTAAGAAGTAACGGTAAAATAACATAACATAATTCAAGTTCATCCATCAAGCATAATAACTAATAGAATGATTGCATGTATGTTGAACTTTGTGGCATGAAGAAAATAACAATCATGTACGGCATGTAACTGTAAAATAAAATAACATAATTCAAGTTCATTCATTAAGCATAATAACTAATAGAAGGATTGCATGTATGTTGAACTTTGTGGCATGAAGAAAATAACAATCATGTATGGCATGTAACGGTAAAATAAAATAACATAATTCAAGTTCATTCATCAAGCATAATAACTTATAGAATGATTGCATGTATGTTGAACTTTGTGGCATGAAGAAAATAACAATCATGTACGGCATGTAACGGTAAAATAAAATAACATAATACAAGTTCATTCATCAAGCATAATAACTTATAGAATGATTGCATGTATGTTGAACTTTGTGGCATGAAGAAAACAACAATTAGGTACGGCATGTAACGGTAAAATAAAATAACATAATTCAATTTAATGTAATTTATTTAATGTAATACCTGAAGGGATCAGAGATCCGCGCGTAGAGACCTCCACACCACCCCGCTCGAATGCGCCAAAAAGTTCACTCCCAGAACAGCCTCCCACCGAAAAGGCACTCCGACATAAGTGCCAGAACTCAACTCAATTCAATTCAACTAATTTACTTAATTTAAGAAAATCAGCTAAACCGAACCGAACCAAATTCCAACACCTACATCAGAACGCCCTCTCAATGGGAGACTGCTCAAAGAGCAAACCCCTCAGCGCACCCAAACAGGGCGATATAGAGGTGTCCACACACAGATCCCTGATCTCTTCAGGTAAAGTATCCCAGAACCTAGGAAAGGCATAAAAGCATGAAAATTTCAGAGCATTAGATCTTGCAAGTCGATGGTTGAAGAAAAGACTATGGGAGCGTCTTGAACTGGGAACGGGAAGAACATAATCGGGTACATCATGACAACTACGGATGCATTTTACAACAAATGACACCGTCAAGTAAATGAGACGATTATATAAGGGTGGCAAAGCTAGCTTCTCCAGTCGTTGCTCGTAAGTAAGAGTGTTGGAAATATGGTATGGGAAACAAGAACGAGTAAATCGTCTTTGAATTGCCTCAAGAGCTAAGATGTGGTTCTTTTGGTGTGGCAACCAAACTGGGATGTTGTATTCAATGACAGGTCTACATATGGTACAGTATAATCGTTTTAGGACGGTTGCATTTCTGGAGTTTACAATCCGACGCACAAAGCCACATAATCGTGCACATCGGGAAGTCACAGATTGGATGTGTTTACTCCAAGAAAGATCACTCGAGAATATTAATCCAAGATGTTTGTGTGAGGTAACTACATCAAGTTGACGACCCCCCAAATTGTACTCTATATCGATTCCTCTTCTAGAACGTGTAATATGCATTACTTTGCATTTGGATGCATTGAGTTCCATCTTATTATGTGTACACCATTGAGATATTAGGTTTAAATCATTCTGAAGTACATTGCAATCATTTGGATTCTGAATCGGGCGGTACAGTACTGTATCATCTGCATACTGTGGGAGTGAGGAGGATATTATGGAAGGTAGATCAGAAACGAAGAAGTTAAAAAGGGTCGGACCCAACACTGACCCTTGAGGAACTCCAGATGTCACACTGGACCATTCAGAAAATGTACCCTGAAACAAGACCCGTTGGTTGCGATCTGACAAGAATGATTGAATCCATTCAAGAGCTTTTTTACAAATACCAAAATCATGTAGTTTTCTTACAAGTAGTGCATGGTTTACCTTATCAAAGGCCTTAGCCCAATCCAAGAAAACAGTATCGACTCTAGACACTTTCGCGCTTTCTAAACATTTGGCAAGGTCATTGTACAAAGTTGAGGTCTGAGTAGAACAAGAGCGTTTTTCCATAAAACCATGTTGAGATAACGGTATAATACCATACATATTAGAATGTTTAAGTAGATGGGAAGCAACAATTCTTTCCAACATTTTGCAAGGCACTGAACATAAAGAAATCGGTCTGTAGTTGGATATAGACTCACGATCACCACTTTTCAGTAAAGGCACAACATTCGCCAATTTCCATTCACGGGGTACCGTACCTAAACTTAAACTTAGATTAAACATGCGTGTGAGAATAGGGGCCAAAGAATTACCTGCTAACTTTAAGAAACCCGGCAAGATGCCATCGGGTCCAGGGGGCTTTGACGCTTTTAGGTTGTTGATAGCGATTGAGACTTCCTCAGTTTGTACGCTTATTTGGTTCAGGGGTAACATGCCAGCACTGTGTCTATTACAGGCATCCAATATATTGCTAGACATTGTATCAATTGTAGATTCTGAAAAGTTCGAGCAAAAATATTGATTGAACACATTAGCAATATTTCCAGGATCATCATAATGATTGTTATCAAGTTTAAACGTTGAAAGCATTGAAGTTGCCTTCTTAGCTTTTACAAACGACCAAAATCGTTTGGGGTTAGAATTGAGGGAGATACTTGAGATATAATCATTATAGGAAATCCTTTTTTGTTTGTTCACAAGAGTACGGATTTCTACATACTTATTCCATAGATCTGTATTATCATTTCCAGTGCTTTTCTTTGCAATAGCCTTTTTAAAGGCTCTCTGT